GAGAACTTCTTTTATCTATGCACGGAGTTGGAGGATAAGAACAACAGAAAACGAGAACGGGAACATTTGGAGCCGAAGCTACAACTCTGCTTCATCCCAAAACACCACAGCAGGTCGCTGCAGTAGTGTTCTTATCTATGCACGAGCGGGAACGTGCGCAGCTGAAGCACCATCTTTGCTTCGTGGACGTGGTTCCATAGCCATATACATATCATTTTATGGAGCCAGCGCCCCACCGGTCCTAATTTAGGACCGACGGCACGACGCAGGCACCAAAGACAACACCGGAGGGGCCATCATCTGCTGCCTGACACAAAGAGAGACGAGTGGGCGCGCACACTGCCGCGGCCCGGTGCGACCGCCGGCGTAGCCCCGGCTTGGGGGGGCTCTTTGGGTGGGGCATCAGCTCGCGCCCGGGCGCGCAAACTTGGACGCAGTGGCCGGCGGTCATTCTGTCAGTGTGCAGAGCGCTCCCTGGCGCATGAGCTGGGGCTGCGCTAAGCACGAAAGCGCGACCCTCTGGATGATGCCCGGCGAAGGCTTTGGATAGCCCTGGGCGGTGGCGCTTTTGTTAGCCTCAGACACGCCAGGCCTTGCCTAGAATAAAAAAAGCCCACGAATCGCGACGGTATGGCGCGATTTTTCTTAGGGATAAGAACACGCGGAAAGATCAACACCTTTTTCATCTCTATACGTCGTGGTGGTCGTCGTGCTGGTTTCGCCCGGCGCGAGCGTCGTGGTCGTTTTCGTCGACGTCGTCGTTGTGCTGGTCGTGCTCGTCGCGGTGCTCGTTGTCGTCACAGTTGTGGTCGTCGAGCTTGTGGTGGTGGTAGTCACCGTCGACGTCGTCGTAACGGTGGTCGTCGTGGTCGTAACGGTGCTCGTGGTTGTCAGCGTTGTACTTGTGGCTCGTCGTAGTGAGCGTCGTAGTAGACGTTGTACTTGTACTCGTCAAAGTTGTGGTGTAAGTCGTAGTAGAGGTCACCGTCGACGTTGTGGTCACCGTTGATGTACTCGTATCCAGTGCAAAAGTATCGCACTCGTAGTAATTGCAGTCATGCATTACAAATCTCCTTTCCAAGGTAAAACAGCATCACAAATTTCATTTCTCACGCTGAGCAAATTTGTCATGCGATTTATACTAGTACGATACTTTTGCATTGCATAACTCGTCGTCGTTGTCAACGTAGAAGTACTTGTGGTGCTCAAAGTCGTTGTGGTTGAGGTTGCCGTCGACGTTGTCGTCACCGTGCTCGTGGTCGTTGTAGTACTCGTTAACGTTGTCGTCACTGTACTCGTCGTGGTGGTCACTGTTGTGCTCGTTGTCGTCACCGTGCTGGTGGTTGTACTAGTAGTGGTCGTCGTAGAAGTACTGGTGGTTGTAATAGTACTGGTTGTCGTCGCAGTGCTTGTCGTGGTTGATGTTACCGTGCTCGTCGTTGTCAACGTCGTACTGGTGGTTGTCAGCGTCGTCGTACTCGTTGTCGTTGTGGTCAGAGGCGTACTGGTGGTTGTCAAAGTAGTACTAGTTGTCGTCAAAGTAGTACTTGTCGTGGTTAAAGTGGTCGACGTCGTTGTCACTGTTGTAGTTGTGGTCACCGTGCTGGTTGTCGTTACAGTGGTCGTTGTAGTGACCGTCGTCGCGATTGTTGCTGTCACCGTGGTTGTCACCGTCGAAGTGGTGGTGAACGTGACCGTGCTGGTGCTGGTTGACGTGGTGGTCGGGCACGCATCTATCCTGTGAGAAAATAACGCCCCCAGCATTGCGACCCCAAAGTTCATCTTGCCATGCGGATTTGCATAAGCATGGTCCCAGCAAGCACTACATCTCTCTTCATGCTTTTAAACGACAATGACCACATGGCAGGCGTTTTCTACTAGACGTTGTTGGAATTGGAGACCTGCCATCCGCCAATCAGCATGAACAAGCGGATTTCTGATGCATGTGGACTAACTAGGCACGTGGTCTCCCACACTGCACGCCCAAAGTTTGTAATGCAAAAGCCCCAAACTTTTAGAAACTCCAGTAGAATTCACTTTTCTACTAGCACATTTATTGCCATGTTCTTAGACAATTATGAGGAGCACGACGGAGGGACGTTTTTCATCCTCAGGTGGATAGCATCCCCGTATTCCACATACCCGTGCCCATACGGACAGTCCACGCCCCCGCCCGCGACGGTCGTACTGTGCTGGTAGGTATGCATTGCAAATATGTCTGGGTCTGGAAGATTCCGAGATTGTCATGCTCATGCAGTTTTTCCAAGCTCCGCCAAGGCTGGAATGCAGGGCATAGCATCACAGGCTCTGCAGCTCCTTGGTGATGCCTATTCTGCATGAGAAATGCCCTCTCAGAATGGCCAGAATAAATGGGGAGCTTTTGCAAGTCATGCAACACAGATTTTTGTATGATCCGCAACACGCATGACAAGTTCGCATCCTTCCAGACCCAGACATTTTTGCATTTGATAGTAGGTCCTTGACCGCTGACTTGGGTTCCCCGTGTACCCATCGCACTCCGTCCACGCTTATCAAATGTAAAAATGTCTGGGTCTGGAAACTTGTGATGCTGTGTGGCGTATCATGAGGAGGCGACAATTGCTGGCTCAGCATGACAAGTTTCTGAGCTTCTATGTGTTGCCTATTCTGCATGACAAACTACGTTTCTGCATGACAGAAAAGTGGGGCTCTTTGGTAATGTGCATGACAGATTTAAGAGTCATGCCAGACAAGCATGACAAACATGCATTCTTCCAGATCCAGACACTTTTACAGTTGATAACGCTGTCCAATCCCCCACGCAGTTGGTCCCGCAGTTTTGGCTCTGCGAGGCCCCGTGGCTGTAGGGGCAGGCGCTGCCGCCGTGCTGGGGGTACCGGTACACGTAGAAGGTGTATCCAAGAAAAAAAGCTGTGTTAGTGTAACTATCTTTGGCTGGCAGCATCACAAATTTGCTCTACATGACAGAGAAAATCTGTCATGCGTGGCTTGTAAGGGAAAACACACATGAAAAGAGGACTTCATGGGTGTCTGGCATGACGGGCGTAACTCTGTTGCATGTTCTGCATTACAGAGTTACACTTACACAGTTTTTTTCTTGCATAAGGTACGGGACTGCTGCCCGTTGCTGCACGCACTCCACTATCAAATGCAAAAGTGTCTGGGTCCGGAAGGGTCATGCTGTTTTTGCATGACACAGAAGCTCTGGCGTGGAGGCTCTAGCATCACAGGTTCCGAGAAGCTTCCGCAATGCCGAATCCGCATGACAAATCCCCCATTTTTTTTTGTGACAGAAAGTCAAAGTGGGCAACTTTTGCATTTGCTGCCTCTGCATGAGAGATTTTTCTCTGTTCTGAAATGCGCATCACAAGTTTGTATTCTTCCACACCCCGACATGTTTGCAGTTCATATCCACCCGCCCCAGTAGTACCCGCAGTGTACCGGCGGGTAGTAGGTCGGCGTCGGGGCCGGGTTGGAGTACTTCGACCCGGGAAGCTTTCGCCGGGGATATTAAATGCAAAAGTGTCTGGGTCTGGAAACTTGTGATGCTGAGTGGCGTAGCATGAGGAGGCCACAAGTGCTGGCTCAGCATGACAAATTTCTGAGCTTGTAGGTGTTGCCTATTCTGCATGACAAACTGCGTCTCCGCATGACAGAAAAAAACGTCTCTTGGGCAATGTGCATCACAGATTCAAGAGTCTTGCCAGACAAGCATGACAAACTTGCATCCTTCCAGACCCAGACATTTTTACATTTGATAGGGGAGGTTGAGACACAAAGTCGTGTGTCCACCTCTCATGATCTCCATTCTCGTATTCATCTTCCAGCTCTGCTGCGGAGCCGAAGAATTCATCCTCTTCCTCGAATATTAAACTTCGATCAGGCGCAGGCACGGGCGCAGGTTGCACTTCATTTGAAGGAAATAAGTCCGCGGCCGCTGCCGAGCATAATCGAAGCAGCAGGCAAAAACGGAGAAACCACATCACGGAGAAAGACGAAGAACTGGTCGTCGTGCAGCTCCGGTATAATGCAGCCCGGGCTCTATAATTGCCCGTGGTGGTGGAGAGTGGGCCACGAGCCGGTTTCATCGCGTTCAATTCCGAAAAATGATGATGTGTCATGAATTCAATATGAAATTAATCAAGCAAAAAAAAAAAGAGCGAGATATTGTAAATTCGTGTGGGATGAAAGAGGCAATAGCAGTTAGCAAGTAAATATGAAATTAGCAATGTCTGTAGCAAATAAAGATGAACCCGCAATGGAAATGTAGCAGGCAATCAACTGATCGTATGAATGTTAATGGTAAGCAAAAGAAAAAGAAAGACATATGAAGGTTGCAAAATAAGTGTTCAACAATTGTTGAGAGATAAGCTCTAATCAGGGCCGTAAAACTCAGCTACTAAACACGAGCTCAACACAGACTGAGGGATGCAAAGAACCTTGGTATAACTACCTTTCACTTGCATCTTGCCCTTTGCATATTTTCAAAAAAAAAAAGCTGAAATGGGTATGGAAAGAATATGGGTACGTTAGTGAATGGGAGGAAATAAAAGGGGGGTCCGTCTGTAGGAACAGGTTTGGAAAAACCACGAAGAGATAATGAAGAATGAGCAATGACTGTAGCAGAAGGACAAAGAGTGCCAAAAATGGTAGAAAAATGCTTTATGTTCAGCTGCTGCTATTCAAGAATGCAACTACTGCCAACGACATAATCAACGATCAATGCGGGGATGCAGTCTGTATATGGATTTCTACGGTCTTGGCACAGATTCGTCACGGCGGACCGACCTTTATATCAAACTAACTCGAGCTCGTGAAGCACTGCACATCAATGACTGGCAATTATACCGAAATGGAGCGAGAAGGACAGAAATCACACCGATTCTCTTCTTTTCGCGAGTAGTAGCAGCAACCGAAAAAATATAGCGTGAAATAGCACTAGGCGCACTCGCAGCGTACATTCGTTCTTAATCTTATGCACATCACGACCGCGGGCAGTAATATATCGTGCATCACGTGCCTGCTACTCAGGCTTAGCTGCAGTTATCCTTTCTTTTGTCTACTGCAAATTGGATTTTTACCACTGACAACGCAACATCATCTACTCGATGCCTAGTTTTCAAACAGCACTGGTGTCTGCAGGTCAGCGTCTAACGGTAAACTAAGTGTCGTTTGATGTTCAGCGATGGATAATTTCAAAGTTTGTGTCGGTACTTATCCCTCCAGTTACCGCTTGATGTTGCTGTCATCAGTTTCTAGCTCTATTCCATCGCCATCCTCCTCCCCAGCGTCCCCGATAACCGCCTCGGCCATGAGCGCCCGCTGCCGGTCCGCCGCTTATCCGCTGCAAAAGTACTTATCGCACCCGTAGTAATCGGAATGATGCATGACAGACTGATATTTTTTTCATCTTCTCCGCTGATTTCACATGACGAAGTCCATATTCCTTTCTGACAAAATTTGTATCTGCGATAACTACTGGTAAGTACGCTAGTACTTTTGCAAGAATGCATACCGCTGCGGTTATGACGACCGGGCACCACTTTTTCGACGCCTCGGCTTTTCCTAGTTCCGTCACGTCCTTGGAAAGTTCGTATTGCCGGAACACCGCGTTTCCCAGCAGTACCAGCCCCATATGCCTTGCAAATACGTCTGGGTCTGGAAGAGGACAAGTTTGTCATGCACATTTTCCATGATCTATGATGTCTATGATGTATGCGATAGCATCACAGATTTTTTAAGCGCTTATCGATGCGCACCCTGCATGACAAATGCCCTCTCCGCGTAGCCAAATTCTACTCCTCTTGCTGCTCATGCAATACAGATTTTTTTAGCATCCTAATGCAGCATCACAAGTTTGGATCTTCCAGACCCAGACATATTTGCAATCCGTATCCCAAGCTCCCGTACAAAAACCGCCGAAACGGGTGGTTTGACACGCGGAACACGCCGAACCGCGTTTTCTGTCCGCAAAAAAAGTCCTCGTCGATTTTCGCGGCCTTCAAGGCGACGGACTTCGGGGGCCGGTACTTTTGCAAGTCCGCAGAAAAGGTGGTACTGGAAAGAACCAGGGCGGACGTTCTTGATGAAGCTGGTGGGTGGGAAGGAGCATCAAGTTGTGTTGCTGGCTGCAGAAATGGAAGCGGTGCTGGTGCAATAGATGTGGTTCCTGCAGCAGTTGATGCACTGCTTCCTAAAGTTCTGATATCCTGCTCCTGGCTTTCCCGCGCATGATTCGTGTAGTCGTTCCCCTTCTTGGTCATCATGGCCGCACTCGCGAGAGGAACGCTCCGAACGGAAACGTTGGAGTTGTTTTCATCCTTTCCAGGCCTGTCGAGCGGTGGCGCCCGCTCACCTCTTTTAAAGTTTCTTGTTTTTCTCTTCTATAATAGCACAATATCGTTCAAGTAGAAGGTACAAATGGAACTAAATCTGAAACTGAGGAGGCATTGAAGCACTTTGTCGAGGGTCACGAACATGACCTTAACGCTTAACGCAGGAGCAAGAACAGTTCAAATACGTCAGGCAAATACTTTGTAAAAGCGGTTCTGGTATCTCGATACCGCGAGCAGCTCCGCCACCACCAGCACCACTTTCTGCCGCCTCCTGCGGGGGTGCCAGAGGGTTCACTAAAACGATATTCCCGTCCGCGTCTAGCTTCGTGTTTGGCTTCAAGCCAAACAAGGCACGGAACCCGGGCTGCCGCATCAGGGCAGCCAGGCCGATGCCGGACACCACGTTGCTGCAACAGTAGAGGTTGAAGCCGGCGGAAAAATACGCGGTGACCGGGAGCGTGACGGCGCCGATGACAAACGAGGTCAAGTGCAGCACCCGCCGGGTTTTCGCGTCCGCGACATAACTCGCCGAAATCTTCACGGCCGCCATGGTGAGAAAGGTGGTCAGGAAGGGCAACACCGTGTAGCAGTCCGGCAGATTCAAGTCTTGGCACCACAGGAACCCCTCGACGTTCCAGCTGGGGGAAAACCGTGGTGTCATGTTGCGGAACGCAAAAAACATGCTCATGTGGAAGGGGCTTAGCAGCAGCATGCCGAGAATGGGCCGCATTTGGGCGACCCAGGGGTTCGGATATCCTGTGTAAAAACGTCCCCACACCATAGTTGTCATGGAAATCTGCATGCTTAAAATGTTTATCATGCGGAGCCCCATGAGAAGCAGTTTCTAATGGTGTTTCGAAATTTGTCATGCTCCAATCAGCATGAGAGACTAGATCTGTAATGCTGCTGAACTAGCTCAAACAGCACTACACTACGCGTCCAAATTTGTCATGCGAAACAGCCAAAGCTTGTGGATTTGTCTAGCCGATTCCCCATCTTGACTATGGGGTGGGTACGTTTTTACATAGGATATCGGAATGTCCAGCTTCTTTGCCACCGCTTTGTACTCCTTCACGAACCGTTCGCTGTCGAGCGGGAACTTCTGCCGCAGCTATCCTGTGCAAAAGCATCGCACTCGTATTGCAATCATGCATTACAAATCTTTTTTTTATAAGTAAATCAGCATTAGAAATTTTATTTCTCATGCTGAGAAAATTTGTAATGCATTTCTACGAGTACGTTACTTTTGCAATGCATAGCAGCTCCTGCGCCGCAACGGACAGCTCGAGGAGTTTCGGACTGTCTCGTTGCATCCGTTTCTGGATGGCCAGCTGGGCGGGCAGGTGCACCGCCGCTTTCAACACCCAGGGCACCACCAGCGTGACGGCGACCCAACTCAGGTTCAGATCGTCGTGCAGCAGTTGCAGAAATTCGTGAACCACGTCCACAGGTGTGTAGAGCAGGGTGGAGAGGAAGGAAGTGGAAGAACTTGTTGACGCACTAGATGAACAAGCCGCTTCGACCGTCGATGCTATGGCGTCTGTGGTAGAAGAAGTACCTCCTGCGGCTGCAGCAAGCTGCTGGTCCTGTGCGGCAGCTCCTGCGTGCAGTAGGAGGTCGTGGTGATCTGCGGACATTATAGCGGGCACCGGTGTCGTGGCACTTGCAACGTCAAACAGCTCCTCGTGGTAGGTACTGGCGCTGCTGTCAACTATGCCTGCATCCTCCGCAACTGCAGCTCCGTTCCCTGCAGCTGCCGATGTGGTTGCAAAGCTTCGACTTCGAGAATAACGCGATATTGATACACGACTGCCACCTACTACAGGTGCATTCGTTACAGATCTTGATTGAGCGCCATTCCTGAGCGCGAGCAATCGCGTGGAGGTCCACCCCGGACAGAAGCTAGTAGTCTTGCGCGGAGATCCTTGATAGTACAACGAATCAGCAATCTTTCTGACTCCGCAAGACGAACCGCTGATAGACCGGTGCTGAAAAAGCAACATTGACGCCCGGTCCTCTGCAAATGAGGCTGCTACGCCCCTCTGCGCAAATGCTGTACCGCTACCGGACCGTGGCAGATTCGGCCCGCAGCTTGATGCTCGGAGCGTTGTCGACAACGAGGGCAGGCGTTTCGGTTGAGGTTGTAGCAGGGAGGCATAAGAAGAAGCACCACGAGCAGTCGCTCTCGTTGTCATCATGCTTTGAACCGAAGCCTCGCGCGTCAACACGAACCGCTGCCCGGCAGCACCCGGTAGCATGTGGAGAGTCGTGGTCATGGCCTTCTTATCGAGATTAGAATCCTCACATCGTGTTGAGATTCTACTTTCAATTTTACTTGCGATAAGTATCTTATCAGCAGGAAAAGACCGACTTGGCTCGTCTCACTCGTGAAACTGAAACACAAAAAAAAACCCCGGTTGCCATAGATTCGGTCTGTGCAAGAATCTTCGCCTTGGAAATAAATGGTGTCGCTATTTCCGACACATATGTGACGCGATCTTCTTAAGACCATAAGATTGCGCATGCGAATGCGTCGAGGATCAAAACAAGAAATGTCGACATGTGCCTTGAGCTTTGGAAGAAACTTGTGAAAAGAGATCGCTGTGACGTTTGATCCGGTAATGTAGTACTCGAGGAACTCAAGTGTTGTTAATAGAGCGAACAAAGTCCAACAGCAGACGAACTCTACTTAGTTGACCTGAAAACAAATAAGACAACAGATCCCATCGTATTGAACAGCGGAACATCAAAATCGAGGCCCGGGTCGTAGTGTATGAAGCAAACTGCGTAGACCGAATGTACGCAAATCGCCATGAGGAACTCGCATGATGTAGAAGATGTACACGCGTGTGGATACCGGAATCGAAACATCCACAAATAACAGGCACGAAGCGTCGATCTTTTTGCCATCAAAGAGCTCCCTCTATCCGAGGGTCTTCACTTCATTTTGTAGGTACGATCAAAAGTCAATTTTTACAAGCGTTTATTTGGTCATTTACAATCCTTCGGGGAATAAAATTCGAGTCCTTCGCAAAATTGCAATTCATCGCTCCACCGTGTTCAAATAGGGTATAGTTTACGCATACCTGTTTATCTTGTATACATTTCATTTTCGTTGCTTTATAGTGGCGGCAGAAGCTTATTTTTTGGAAAATTAAAAAAAACATTGGGTGTCATAGATACTGGCCGCGGAGAGCACCACCACCGCCACGTGTGTCGAGCGTGCTCGGCTGCGGCGCCTGTGCAGCCGCGGTTGGAATTGATCGGAGAAAAAGAAGGTCGGGCGCCTGGTTGACATAAATGATAGGGCTGGGGGGCTGAACCTTACGAAGTGCACTGCACTCGCGGGCCCTGGCTCTAGCTCGATGCCCCGCCGAGGCCTGCGCCGATAGTAGTGGGGCCGCCGGCAAGCGGGCCCTGGTGGCATGCTTGCCAGTGGCTTCGCGTGTGTGTTTTGGCAGCGCGCCGGGCAGCAGGATGGGCCGGGGAGATGTGGCGAGGAGAAGCATTTCCGTGCCAGGCTTGTGAAAAGGCCTCGCTTAATGGCCGCGGGAAAATAACAACGCGCCCCGGGCTGCTAGGAGGGTGCGCTTTTTGCCTCCCGCAGCCCTTTCTGAAGCGTCGCCCGGCGGCTCTTGCTGCTTTTCTACCAGCTCTGGTGGCTGGCCCTTGGAGGGGCGATCGCTGGCGCGCCGGGGTTTCAGAGGGGCCGCGAAAGGGTCACCGCACCGGCTGGAGAACATGAAAAAAGCCCCGGAAACGTGCGGCGGCCAAAAACCGCGCCCGTTTTGAAACCTGGGAGCAAGAGCGCCTGCCGCCGGAGTACCACAACCAAACTCCGGGCTGGAGGGGCGGAAACTCTTGGTCGCTGCGGCTGTGTCACTCCCGCCCCGGCCCCTGGAGGGGGCGTGGCAAGCGATTGGCCCGACCGAATGTCCGCCGCCCAGCGCACCCCCAAAGCGCGGGGCCTTTGCCTCTTTTGGAGGGGCATGAAACGGCACAAAGCGGACTGCCCCTCCTGCGTGCGTTATGCCCCGCAAGGGCAGTGGGGGTTCGCAGAGTAAGCCAGGCCAGAAGGGCTTCATTGATCGCCAAAAGCGCCGCCAGCCCCGTCCCTTTCCTTTTTGCCGCGCCATACTCGGATCGGGACAAAGCACGTGGCCGAACACTACCCGCCCGACCAGTCCTACCGACTACGCCCAGTCGGGCACCTTCAACGAGGGCCAAGGACAGGGCGACGCAGATGCGCACCCACGGCCAAGGAAGGGAGCGCGCGACCGCAAAGAAACGGCCGCCCACCCCTTCTGCGTGTTATCTCCGAGGCGCGTCCCTAGCCCGCCCGCCCGCGGAAACCCGGGGAAGCGGCAGGGCCCCGGTCGCACCAAACGGGCGAAAACCCCTCCCCCACCCGAGCATGCGCCGGCGGCGAGAGGAGGGGGAGCAACCTGAGCAGAACTTGTTGGGCCCCCTCTTCCGACAGCCCGGAAGCTGGCCGCCTTAAATGGGCAAGGGTTTCGTGGAACGGCGCGCGCCGAGCACCCCGAACCCGGGTGGCACGCTTGTCGCCTCGACGGAGCTTCGGTTGGGAGGCTCCCCAACGGAAATGTGAGCCGGGCAACCGGGAACACCTGCCGGGGTAGGCTAAAGAGGCACCCCCCCAAAGTGGGCCCGTAGCATGCGGGGTCGCTCTTGCTTAGGGCCACTTTTGGAGACCCTATCCGGGCACCCCCGTCCGCGGGGCCCGGGGGGGCCCCGAAGTGGAAAACCAGTTGCGGCAAGGGCGGTCACGCAGCACGCGCCCCACATGCGCCCCGGAGCGGCCGCGGGGCTGCGCAGCTGCCCGGGAGCTTGGCTCCGATTGCCCCGGCAAGCAAGAGCGCCGGCGGTCCTGGCGCCCCAAGCGCGTTGGCTTCTGGTTTTGGCGCCATGCGCCCCTCGGTCTGGCCGAAGGAAAACAGCGACAACAAGCACGGCCCACAGCATGCCGGTAGTGTTTTCCCCTGGAAATTGGTCCGCGTCCGCCCTGCATTGCCAGCCGGCCGGCTTCGCAATGTTGGCAGGGCGGCGCGCCGAAAGAGTAAGGCGGCCGTGGCGGTCCTGGTGTTTTTGGCATCCTCTAAAAGGGCCCCGGGCGCCGCGCACCTCTGCGCCCTACCTACTGCGCAAGCGCTGTGGATTTCGGCTCGGGCCAGGAAAGCAGTGGGGCGGCGGAGCCAGGCCTAATCCTTTCCGCCGTATATTTTTCAGGAAATCGGCCCAAGGCACGGCGGTCGGCCGAGGGGGCTTTTCAGGTTGTAGCCCGCCCGGGCTGGGGCCACTAGAGCACGGCGCGCCGCGGTCGGGCCCCCCTTACGCGGGCCGTCTGATCAGTTCCCCACCTGCAAAAAGGGGGGCCCGGGTGCCCCGCTGTGTTGCCCAGCGCGGCGGCGCTTGTACTCTGGCCTCCAAACGTGCTGGCAGTGTCGGCGGGCGGTTGTTTTCCGCGAAATTGGTATCCGAAATGCCGCCGGGTAATTCTTGCAAGGAATCCCGCGACTTGGCGGAAGCGCGCTAGGGGGCGGCTTGGGAGGTGTAACCAAACCGCAGGCGCCTTGGCTGGGATGGAGCCACGTCTCCGCCCGCTTTGCAGGAATGGGGCTGCTCGAAAAGAGCGAGTGTCGCGCGGTTGGAGAATTGTGGTCAGCCGAGCAGGGGTCGTGGGCGGCGGCCGAGGGGTGTTGCGGCTCCTCGCCGGGCAATCAGGGATGGGCATTGCGGCCGATGATGCCGCCTGACCGGGGCGCAGGAGCATGGCCCCGGGGCATCTGGTGCGGCGCAAGGCGCTCGCCCATTCCACATCACGCCGTGCCTTTGGGTTGGCCAGATTCGGCCGCGCCTGCCGGGCCTCCGCCTGCCCCGACCAAATTCGGAGCGGCGCAGACCTGGCGGGATTGGCCCGTCTAGGGGTCAACGACGGGCCCGGCTCCCTGCCCACGATGCCCGCTCTAGCGTGCGCGGACGTTAAAGTTGACGTGACCTTTCGCGCCTTCTGCTAGGGGTTCTGCGGTGGTGTGATGTGTTTGACTTTGCGGCAGCACGGCAGAGCAAACTGGGTAAGCGTTGCGCTGGCGTGGGTCTTACGCCGTCCTGAGTCCAGAAGCGTGATGATTCGGCTGGGCTGCGGGGCCCACGATAAAGCCACCCAATATTTTTTTTAATTTTCGCAAAAATAAGCTTCTGCCGCCGCTATATGCTTTAGTTTGGTTTTACAACTTTTTACAGAGTAGACAAATTTTCGGTAGGCACAACAAAACCAGCAGCATTCCCAACAGCATCAAAACCGGTCGCGTTACGTCAGAAGAAAGAAGCTCGAGGATGCTGATGCTGTTGTCATATCTCCCGCCTCGCAGATTCGTTTTTTGTGCGTTCTGTTGGACGGCTTGTTTCTCATGATTCTCGCTTGCAGCTGCTTGTGGCCGCCCTGGTGGGGGTACTTCTTCTTCTTCTTCCGGGTTGCTTTTTACAGTAGTCGACGGTCTTTTGGGTGCACGAGCAATCCAACTGTCGTATTCTGGAATACTCCTTCCCGTCGCAGAAGCGGAAGTCCGCGAGGAACCTGGTAGTGGCTCCCCTATCCGAGGAAAAAAGTGTTACATACAAAGACAAACTCGTAGTTGCACAATTTCGCATCACGATCATAAGTAGGCTTGTCCTGCACAATAAAGAAGATCATACAAAAAAGCATGCATTAAACGAGGCCCGCAAGCTGAACGTTATCTGTTTTGCTCGTGGTCCCACAACACAACAATGTATAGGCGTAAACACTCTTTTCTCGCGATATCATTTCCCAGCTGAAGGAACGAAGCCGAGAAACTGTTCTCGTTCCCCGGCGTAGCGGCTCCGGGCAGAACTTCCACTTGCTCCTCCACTACATTACTCGCAAAAGAAGAGCGTGAAGCAGCCATGGGACTGGTGGATGAGATGGAGGTCGCACTGCGGCCGCCAACAGCTTCATTGTCCTCCTCTTCGAGGAACGAACTCCCCTTGTGTCGGCTCGTGTGGTGCGAATGCGAGTGTTCATGTTTTTGGGCCGGCGAGACCACATTGCTGTTTGTTCGTGTCTGCGCTCCGCCTGCTGATACCTGAGTACCACCGCCTTCCTTTTTGTTTTGGTTTTTATCCGAATTGGATTTTTTACTGCGCTCATCATTTTTGACGTGGTGGTCATGATCCGTCTTCTTCTTCTTCTTGTGTTTGTGGTGCGTGGAGGAAGCCTCGTCGCCCTGCTCGTCCTCGCCGGTAGTCCTCTCGTCGGCCGCGGCATCGGTTGGAGCTGCTTCGGGAACGACTACAACTTGTTCCTCCTCTTGTTCGGCCACCGCAGTGGCTTCTGCTTCGGGGGGTCGTGGTGCAGCTTCATCTTCATCTTCATTGACAGCAGCATTTTCTGCGACCTCCTCTGCCGGAGCCGTTGGCGGTGCTGCAGTCTGCTGCGTCTGTTCCTCGGCTGCGATCATGCCCGTGGTTTGCTGCTCGTCCACCGGAGGGGCAATCTCCTCCGTAGTAGAAGTGTCTTCGATGGGTGTTCTTGGTGGAGAATTGTCGTTGTTCAAGTCGTACTTGCCCCATGCTGGCGCCTTTTTCGGCTTTTGACTCTTCCCTCCCGCCTTTTCGTCTTCTTGCTCCTCGGATCCCGACTCGGCGTCTGCCCGCTTCTGCTTTCGGCGTGCCGCGACGACTGCGCGCAGTCGCGGTGCCGCGACACCTGCGAGCCCTGCCCCTGCGGCAGTTGCGGCGACCTGGACCGGCTCCTTTTCTACCTCCTCTTTCACCACCGCCAGGGGACCCGGGCTACCAGCTGCTTCAGCTGGAGGCGCTCCGTCCTTCCAATACATCTCTTCCGCATCCAGCTGTCCGTTGCCGTCCTTGTCCTGAGATTTGAAAATTTCGTACAGTGTGGCCGTCCCCTCGCTGTCCCGGTGTTCGCCCGGGAGCTCCGCTACCGTGAGCGGCAGCTTGCCGTCCCCAAGCTCCTCCACGTCTTTGGCGGATAGGGAAAACCGCGCGGGATTGCCCCCGTCGTGGGCCCGGAGCTCCGCAAAAATGTTGTCTGTGTACAGCTGCACCGTACCAGCTGCGCTTCTCCCTGCCCCGCCGCTCCCCGGTTGAAAAACGTTTGCCAGTTTGGCTATTTTGTCCTCGCCGCTCGTAGCTTCCTCGCCGGTGTCGGGGAACATGCTTTTCGCTGTGGTTTTCAGCGCATCCTTTTGGTCGTCCGATAGGGCGTCGTACTCCGAGGTGCCGGGTACCGGAAAAGGTTTGGAAACGTCGAGTCCCATCTGGTTCATTTGCTGCTTGTACCGAAGTTGGGCCAGTTCACCCTCGCCGGCTATTGTTCCGTCGTTGTCCGTGTCCGCGGCTGCGAAGACCTCGTCTCCCCCGTGCCACTCGGTCTTCTCGATCGGATCATGACCGTCCCCAATAGCGGCATGCTCGTCAACGCCGCTAGTACCCGTGGAGGTCCCGAACACCTCATCCGCACCCGCGGTCTCGTCCAGCCACCGGGCCTGCACGTGCTCGGCGAACAGTTTTGCGGCTTCACTTATGGAGTTCTCAAATGTTACATTCTCAACTGTTGTAATGCAAGACTGGCAAAAGTGAAAGGAGGAAGATTGCGCCCTTTGCATTACAAGTTTGCCGCAGATTTAGATGCTGTTTAGCCCTTCCGAAATTTGTCATGCGAAGCAGCTTGATCATCTGCCGGCTTAGGGTGCTTTTGCATGACAAATTCATGTAACTACAGTTGAGAATGTAACGTTTGAGAGTCCCATATCACTTTCGGATTCGGTGTGCAGTGCTTGCTTCAACTCCTCGGAAGTAATCCCGTCGCTGACGTCGATGTTCAAATCTATCGCTGCCGCTTTCAGCAGAGCCTTGGCCTCGTCTGGGGTTTGCTCCTCCGCCCCAAGGTGCAGTGCGTCTTTCTGTGCTCCGGAGAGACCGTCAATGCCGATTTGCAACGGCTGTCTGGAGTCCAGGCCGAGCTGCTCCTCCTGCAAGGCAAACAGCTCGTCCTCCCCCTCGATCTTCCCGTCGCCGTTCTTATCAGCGTGGTCGAACACATCCGCGCCCCCGTGCCATTCCGCTTCCAGGATGGGCATGTCGCCGTCTCCGATGCCGTAATACTCCTGGCCGTCTAAGAAGCCCTCCGTACTGTCGAATGCGCCATTATCGCCCGTTTTCGCGGCCAGCCAGTGCTCTTGGAATTAGTCCGCCAACTCGTGCGCTGCGTCCTCATCGTTATCAACACCGAGTGCCGTTTGCAGCTCCTCGCCGGTGATGCCATCAGTAAGATCGATCAGAGGTCGATGGTCATGTGTGGCAGCCGCATTTATCTCGTCCGCCGCAGCCTTCAACGCTGCTGTCTCGTCCGGCATTGGGACGTCTTCGGCTAACATGTTCAGCGCTTCCTGATACACCTGATCGTCTAGTAATCCGCCCAAGAGATCGACAACACCTTCCTCCGCATGCAGTGTTTCTTTCTCGTTCTTCGTGACAACTTTTCGGGCAGTGGCGAAGCGCGCTGCACCCGCGACACAGTGAACGAGAACTCTACCTAGCACGGCGCCCATGATTCAGTTTCGGATACTTAATTCGCTACACAGTCATTCGTTACCGACCACCCTAGGTGGCGGTCATTATCAGCAGTAAAGACATAGGTATGTTGCCGCCTAACTTGTTTTTTTGTTTTATCTCAACATTTGTCACTGCACGACCCAGAAGCAAGTCGTACCTCAGGATTTGGCTTGCAAGACGATTTTTCGCATTCTTCGAGAAACCCCGATGTACAGTATCGCAACCCCTCGCCCTCCATAGCCCGTCCCATACTATCTAAACCTCGGTGCACGACATGCAGGATTGCATCTCATACTCATCTTGGCTTTATTTGATGACCCAGAGAACTGCGAGCGAAGTCACGACGAAAACAGTGTGTAGATTTGCATTTGCAGTGCACGAGACCCACGACGTCGAGTGCACGCAAACCGCCATGAGAAACTCGCACGATGTAGACGATATTAACACGCGTGTAGATACCGGTGGAATCGAAACATCCACAGATATGTAAAATTGGTTTTGTTGTATTCTTAGGTGCAGAGACGGGAGAACGGGAAGACGAACTACGCAACAACAGGAGGGGTTGGGGGAGGGGGTTTATAAGTCTAGCGCGCGAACACGGCCCTAAGTGGAAAGAAGATCGTTGGTGCTCGCTTAAAACTGTGATCCCAATGCGCAAGGCGGATATGGGCGCCGGCTCCACCATCCTTGCACTCACAGTTTTAACGTGTTGGCTATCTAGTACCGATGTGGGAAGCGGAAAACAAGACGCAACGGGGAACACGCACACTAACAGGGATCGAGGGGGATCATGAATTACCGATAGTATCGAGTATGAGAATGAAACTCTTGCAAAAGTCAGACGAAAAGAGTCGAGAACGAGCAATACGATACGAGAAACGACCCAGAGTTGCTATTGCATGCGAATAAATATAAATGTCACCAAGAGATAATGGAAACTGTACGCACAGCCACGAATCGGTAGTACTAAAACAACATATTCACGTCGGTAGGAGAGAAATGATGAGAATCTTAGAGCGAACCAGAAGCCGCAAGGTTTTAGGTAAACTCAAAAACTCACCGATGGAAAACTTCTCTGAATCTTCAAAACAGGATGTATTATTAGCCCAATTAGCTAGATACGAATTGAGCCAAACTGCAAAAGATCAACATTCCTATTTTGCCGTGAAGTCGTGTGTTCTATCGATTCGTTTTGGTTTCGCCTACAGAAACAACATAATGACATACCGATAGATCTAATTTTGGATCGTTGACGCACACAAACATTACACGGAAACACGAAAGCACATCTGTCGTCTCTCCGGCGATGGCGAAGCTCCTGCTGTTTCTTGTTTGGTTTTGCATGAATAAAAATATAGATAACACGCGTGTAGATACCGGTGGAATCGAAACATCCACAGATAACAGGCACGAAGGGTCGATCTTTTCGCCAAGAAGCGCTCTCTATCCGAGGGTGTTCACTTCATTTTGTATGTTTGTACGTACAATCAAAAGTTGAATTAAATTTTACAAGCGTGTATTCGGTCATTCAGAATCTTTCGGGGAATAAAATTCGAGTCCTTCGCAAAATTGCAATTCATCGCTCCACCGTGACCGTGTTCGGATAGGGTATAGTTTATGAAGGTCGCGCCCGGAGGGCGATATTAGTAACCAAATGCGTGCGCGAAAATCTAACCAGCGCGAAAGCCTAACCAGCCGCGCGGCGAAAGCGCG